TTTGCTCACAAACGCTGCTGAAAGTTACGAAAATGGGCACTGGGCACGCAGCAACGACCCCACCCATCCAGAGAACAATGCGTAGGCCGGAAATGGCAAGCACTTGCACATCAATACACGAGCTTTGGCACTGTCAGTGCCCGCAACTACATAGCCAATTGCATGCATCATGATTTCCGCCGGCAATGCAATTGTGACCACACGTGCTTTGCACAGTGATGCTAATAACAGCACGAATCGAAGGTAAGGAGATCAAGCATCAAGCACAATCAAAGGCCCTGAGAACGTCCACTGGTTGGACGCGTGTTTCCGCCGTAATCCCGCGTGTTTCCGCCGTAATCCCGCGTGTTTCCGCCGTAGCCCGAAACACCAACAAAATACAAAACCGTCTATTGAGCCGTGCATGCAGGAACAAAATCACTTTGGGGCAACCAACCCCTTTGAAGCCAGAAGCAGTGGAGACAAAGAGGGCTCCGTACTCGCCACAAACATAATTCATACACCCGGGCTGCGTCATGCCCTGATTGAAGAGATTGGCGGTAGGCATGCGCAGGTACTGCGGTGGCTGCAAGTTGCAAAAGGCTGCTTTGTGGCTGCATATATTCAATATAATGAGACAAAAGGCGGTTTGCAAAATCAACGCTTGTCACATTGGCGAATGCTCATGGGTCAAAGCAAAGGTTGTGGCAGCAATACTCTTTAAGGCCGCGTTTGAAAACGCCGCCGGAAAAGCAAAAACGCCGCACGATTTTTAGGAGATCCCAATTTCCGCCGGCGGACGCAAAAAGGCGCCTTTTTGAGTCCGCGGCTGAAATTTTGGCCGGAAGGAGTTTCCAGGTATTGGAGAACACCTATGCATCATGCTGCTGCGAATGGCCACGCGGAAGTGGTGCAAAGCTTGCTGGAAGCTGGTGCCGACAAGGACCTGGCTGACGTGGCTTGGTGCACACCTATGCATTACGCTGCTACTAGTCGCCACGCGGAAGTGGTGCAAAGCTTGCTGGAAGCTGGTTCCGACAAGGACCTGGCTGACGTGGCTTGGAGAACACCTATGCATTTTGCTGCTGAAAATGGCCACGCGGAAGTGGTGCAAAGCTTGCTGGAAGCTGGTGCCGACAAGGACCTGGCTGACGTATATTGGAGAACACCTATGCATGTTGCTGCTGCGAATGGCCACGCGGAAGTGGTGCAAAGCTTGCTGGAAGCTGGTGCCGACAAGGACCTGGCTGACGTGGATTGGTGCACACCTCTGAATTATGCTGCTACTAGTGGCCGTGCGGAAGTGGTGCAAAGCTTGCTGGAAGCTGGTGCCGACAAGGACCTGGCTGACGCGTATTGGTGCACACCTCTGCATTATGCTGATAAGAATGGCTATCATGAAGTTGTGCGAAGCTTGCTAGCAGCCGGCGCTAACAAAGACCCGGCTGACGTGAATTGGAGAACACCTATGCATGTTGCTGCTGAGAATGGCCATCATGAAGTGGAGGGAACCTTGCTGGAAGCTGATACCAACAAGGAGGACCCGGCTGACGTGATTTGATTTTTGGAGAACACCTAAGCATTCTGCAGCTAGGAATGGCCATGGCTAACCAGCATGCTTCTGGCGTGAATTGGCGCAGGTCTTTGGATTTAGCTGCACGTACTGAAGTGCTGCGACCATTGCTTGAAGCTGGTGCTGACAAGAACGCGGCTGGCATGAGTGCGGCTTCATGTCTTTACGTTGTGGTATGGAAACGATACTTGCCAGAAGCTGGTTTTTCTGAAAACATCAGGTGGTTTTCCAAAGTGAAGATAGCACATCCAACTGCAATTTCCTCGGTGGGTTTCGGTACAGTACCTATTATCTTTGAATCCCCCTACCCCCTGCTCCAAATGCCGACGTTGTTTTAAGCATTTTTTGAAGAACTTGGGTTTCCATGATACATACCTTCTTTTTTAGTAGATGGTCGACATCAATACCAAAAAAAGGCCGGGTATGTTAGGGGTACTGCTTGGTGGATCCACCATACGGGGTCCGCACCCGTCGGCATGCGCACGTTGCGTGTGACTCGGCCAGCGCAGCAGAAAGCAGCTGGAGGAAGAAGCAGAAAGCATTTGCTGACGCAGCCATTCCACTTCCCATCTAAAAACTCTCCCACCAACTAACATGGCACGTGACAGGGGGGGTTCGGAAGACCATGTTAGCTGTTGTGAGAGTATCTCTTATTTGGTATTCTGTTTGCTGATTTTATCATATTCATTTTTCCATTCAGCAACGAGTTGTCGCCACATGCGCGACTCCTTAGATGCAAGATGCCTTGGTTCAGTGTAAAACTAGACAGTACTCAACAACAGACCTTGGCGAAATGGTCGCAAGGAAATGTGCAAAAGCCATGAATGCATACCCCCTACTCCAAATACCCATGTTTTTGTGTTTAAGTATTTTTAGAAGAAAAAAAACAAACTAGGTTTCCATGGTAAATACCGGAAGTGGATTGGACTGCTTGCTTGGAAGTGCTTTGGTAGGAGTGGATTGGACTGCTTGCTTGGAAGTGCTTCGGTAGGAGTGGATTGGACTGCTTGCTTGGAAGTACTTGGGTGGAAGTGGATTGGACTGTTTGTTTGGAAGTGCTGGGGTGGAAGTGGATTGGACTGTTTGCTGGGAAGTGCCTTGTTGGAAGTGGATTGGACTGCTTGCTTGGAAGTGCTTCAGTAGGAGCGGATTGGACTGCTTGCTTGGAAGTGCTTGGGTGGAAGTGGATTGTACTTTAGTAGAGGGTGGACGTCATACCCAAAAAGAAGAGGGTATTGGGTGTAAGGGGTAGTAATCCACACTGGAGCGGCCAGTGAGTCCAGGAGCGCGAAAGGGGTCCAGTTTCCGAAGAAGGCTAGGGAACCACTCATTGTGGTCCCCTCTACAAAAAAAGGAGGTATTTACATAGATAAGATCGCGAGAGAGAGAGAGAGAGAGAGAGAGTGGTAGTTACACAGGGAGAGAGAGAGAGAGAGAGACTTTTTTTTCTTTAATAGAGACATTTAGTTAGAGAGAGAGAAGACGGGCAGTCATACAGAGAAAGAAAGATATCTAGCTCGTGGGGGAGAGAGAGAGAGATGTTTTTTCCCCGTAAATAGTTTCATAGAGTGGCCACGTGGACTAAGTGGCTCCTGAATGGGCAAAGTGGCCAAGTGGATGAAGTGGCCAAGCTTTGGCCACTTGCTCCCTGGGCAGGCGTCTAAGTGGAGCAAGTGGACCCGGCTTGCCCAGTGGGATGAAAGGACAGGTTGTTCAAGTATTCGCCCCTAGTTGAACAACAGAGATTGCCTGCCCGCTTGGATGCAGATCATGCTGTTCAATTGTTCGGGTATCGGATCCTTAGTTGAACAACGGACCAAGTGGACCAAGTGCACCAATTGTCCACTTGCCCGGCAAGCTGACCCATTGGCGCAGTCGGCAAGTAGACTGGTGAACCAACCCAAGGGGCCACTTGTCCACTTTTCCCGGCAAGCGACCAGTGGGCCAAGCGGACCAGGTGGACCATTGGATTAGTGGACCATTCCTCTCCTGGATTGCTCGAAGTCCAAGCATGGACTGAGCCCCTGCTCCCCCGAGCAAGTGGACCAAGTGGACCAAGTGGCGAAGTGGACCCAGTGGCCATTGCCGACTTGCTCCCCCGAATGGACCAAGTGCCGAGGTCCCCAGCGATTGCCCCGGATTCCGCGCGGATGGCACCTGTTTGGGTGTGTGAAACAAGCCCCGCATCAGGGGCAACCACCCTCTTTCACAGCCACGTAAGCGAGCTACAATCAAACCTATAAAGGCTTGCCAACAGCAAATATTCTATCCGTGCCCCGCCCCCCAATGGTGTTCATGTATGTTTTGGGCTCGGTACCGTTTGAGTCTCTGGAGAATGTGCTGTATATGAAATACTCTAACTGTTCGTGGGCGAGGGGCGTGGCACGTTGGGCTGAGCTTTTGAGCTCCGAAAGAAGGGAGAAGCCATGCATTCCTTTGGTTCATGCGTGTGTCTTTCTTTGGGGGATTTCGACCAAACCAGTCGTTAGAATATTTCAACACAGTTATATAGAAAAGTTCAACACAAGGGTTTCTGTTATGAACAACTACCCGGCAATAAATGTGCTAGCTGCTAGCCCGTTGCTATGTAAATATATATATATACACATACATACATGTGCGGTTTTTAATGAATCATGTGGGTCCCATGATTTTCCATTTGGGTCCGTCGTTCTGTCGAGGGTGTATACCCTTTTTGGTGGCTGGCTCAAAGCAAAACCAAACGGAAACCAGCCATTTTGCGGGGTCGTTCGATTGATTCTATCTGCGTGTGTTCTATGTATTCTAACTGTATGTATTGTAGGTCTATTGAAATGTTCAATTTCATTCACTCTCTTCCAAGTGTTCAAACTGCTGGCCCTCCGCTATGGGTAGATGAAGGTTAGTGCAGTCCAAAGCATGAAGAGGTGTTTTCAGTTTCTTAGCACGGGTTTTAGAAAGCTCTCTCAACATTGTGAGGTTTGATTGTTTTCTCGGTTAAGCTACACGCGAACTAAGCCTGGAGTTAGTTGGGGGAGTTTGCCTCATTGCATTATATTTGTTCTAGACTTCGTGCCACCCACTCAAAGTGCGCGCAGGGAAAAGGAGGCACTGGAAGTGTGCGCAGACTGGGTCAAAGTTGCAGTGTCATTGCACGGTACCGATTGTGTTCCTGTATCAACTCACATCACTTCAGCCACATTTTGGCTGTGTCAAGATTCCTGCTTGCAATCGTGGCCTTATATGGAGAATCAGCCTCGCAGCCTCTGACATTCACCCTTAGTCTTCGGACATTCGGGGTGCCTCGAAATGGTGAATCCCCATATGGTGCTCAAAAGGAAACCTAAAGGTAAACCACGTTTAGCAGGATGTTTAAGGGTTTCACACGCCCTTGCATTTTGATTTACACTGACACCCATCTACGAATCACATCCGCTCATGCATCCCATGGATTGAAGCTGCTTGCTAGGAGTACGATGCGAGACAAAGAGATAAGCTCAACTATCGCTACCCCGGCGTTGGGGGAGAGAGCTATCAGGAGTCCGGGCTCCGGCGATTCATGTTGGGTAGTTGAGACCAGAAAATTCGTGTGGCCTGAAGGAAACTGTGTCTTCAAAGAAAAAAACGTGAGCATTCTTTGATGGAAGTGCCAAGAGTTTGAATGGATTCATTTGTTGCAGACCCAGTTCATAGTTCAAGCTGTCTTCAGTATGGCCAGGATGCTTGGAAAGGATTGTTCATACATGCATACATGCATACGCTCATACATGACTAGACGCATACATGCGTGCACACATGCATACGTGCATACATGATTGCACGCATACATACACACAAAGACCTACACATTACACACATACATACATACATACATACATACATACATACATACATACATACATACATACATACATACATACATACATACATACATACATACATACATACATACATACATACGCACATACGCACATACCCACATACACACATACACACATACACACATACACACATACACACATACACACATACACACATACACACATACACACATACACACACACATACATACATACGTACGTACGTACGTACATACATACATACATACATACATATACACATGCATGCATGCATGCATGCATGCATGCATGCATGCATGCATGCATGCATGCATACATGCATACATGCATACATACATACATACATACATACAAACATACAAACATACATACGTGCATGCATACGTACATACGTACATACGTACATACGTACATACATACACACGTTCATACACCCATACATTCAAGCATTTCACGCATTCATATATACGTACACGTTCATACCTCCATTTATGCATTTACACATACATTCAGACATTCATACGTGCATACACGCATGCATACACGAATACATACAAACATGCATACATGCATGCATGCATACGTACATACACACATACATACATACACACATACATACATATACCCATGCATGCATGCATACATGCATACATACAAACATACATACGTACATGCATACGTACATACATACGTACATACGTACATACATACATACATACACACATTCATACACCCATACATTCAATCATTCACACATTCATATATGTATACGTTCATACCTCCATTCATGCATTTACACATACATTCAGGCATTCAGACATTCATACGTGCATACACACATGCATACACGTACATGCATACACACATGCATACACGTACATGCACGCATACATACATACATACATGCATGCATGCATACGTACATACATACATACATACAGGCATCCATGCATGCATACATACATGTTGCACGTACGTGCGTACGTACATACATACATACATCATGCGTACATACATTCATACAAAGAGACAGACAGCCTGACAGACTGACAGACCTAGAATGTATCCAGATACTTCAACGTAGTGCCATCCAACGTAGGGCCAGGCTTCCACAGGTATATGTGTATATATATATATATACAAATCTGTGCATAGATAGCTTGAGTATATACTTGTCCCCTTTTCTTCAGGATCCGCATTCCCGGCTTTTGGGGGTTGGACATGTTGCGATTCGACGTCGAAGCGAGGACGTTGTCTTCCGGCTGACCTATTTGGTGCTCAGACTGGAGCAGGTCATGGGCAACGTGCTGGTGATCTGCGACAAGGTGGTGTTTGGACTTGACAGCTTGGTGTCCAAGAACCTAAGGGACAACAAAGAGAACACAAAGGGAACCATGGTAGCTATCCCCTTCGCCTTTCTAGCCTTTTAGCGTTCAGTGGTATGAGGGCCCAGGAACATCAAGGGACACCAGTCAACGGGAAGCCAGAAAGGTCAAAGTTTCTTGGGCCGAGGGAAAACGATCAATGTCCCAAAATAAAAACCTCTTCCTTACCAGGGGTCTGGTGCGGGGACATCCCCAAAAACCATCAAGAACCTGTTCCTTCCTGGTCCAAGAACCTTCCAGGCTTCTCCGGATGGGATATGGTTCCAAACATCTCAACGCATTCGGATTTGCACAGCACCTGAAGTTGCAGCTCCAAGACGGAAGCGGAATTTTTGCTGTGGGGTGTGGAGAGCTCTGGAAATGATTCGGCGAGGCGGTGTGCCGGGTGCTGCTCGCCTACTTCCGCGGGGTGCCCATCGAGGTGCTGAAACTGGGGGCTCCGAGATTTGGCAACATGTGTTTTGTTTCTTTCTTTCTTTTTCTCTTGTTGGTGTTAAAAGGAATTTATCACTACTATATTTTTTTCTGGGGGTCTCGAACAAATGAAAGAATATGGGTTGTGGGTGGGGTTTGGTTGAGGGGTGGCTAGGGGTTGGTGTAGGATTGGTTCAGGGTCAGGTTAGGTTTGGTTGAGGATTGGTTGAGGGTTGGTTGATGATTGGTAGGGTTGGTTGAGGGTTGGTTGAGGGTTGGTTAGGGTTGGTTGAGGGTTGAGGGTTGGTTGAGGGTTGGTTGAGCGTTGGTTGGGGGTTGAGGGGGGTTGGCTGAGGGTTGGTTGGGGGTTGAGGGTTGGGTTGAGGGTTGGTTGAGATTTGGTTGAGGGTTGGTTGAGGGTTGGTTAAGGTTGCTTGGGTTGGTTGAGGGTGAGTTAGGGTTGGTTGAGGGTTGAGGGTTGGTTGAGGGTTGGTTGAGCGTTGGTTGGGGGTTAGTTAGGGTTGGTTGAGGGGTTGGTGGAGGGTTGGTCAGGCTTGGTTGAGGGTTGGTTGAGATTTGGTTGAGGGTTGGTTGAGGGTTGGTTAAGGTTGGTTGGGTTGGCTGAGGGTTGGTTAGGGTTGGTTGAGGGTTGGTTGAGGGTTGGTTTGGGTTTGTTGAGGGTGAGGGTTGGTTGAGGGGTTGGTGAGGGTTGGTCAGGCTTGGTTGAGGGTTGGTTGAGGATTAGGGTCGGTTGAGGATTAGGGTTGGTTGAAGGTTAGTTGAGCGGGTTGGTTGAGGGTTGTTTGAGGGTTGTTTGAGGGTTGGCTATTTAGAGTGATTTTAGGCTAGGTTTGCAGATAGCCCCGTGGATGCGCTGAACGGGTCTGTCGGGAAAGTTTTGCAGTTGGGGTCCTGGGCGGGATATCCTCATTGGGGGGGGGGGGGGGGGCTAGCGAACCGGGACCGCAACTATTGGTAACACGTTCAATTGTCTACATATATGGCTGGGCTGTGGGTCAATAATAGGTACCCAAAATAGAGCCCTGGTAAGTGGGAACCTGCACTAAAACCTGCATTTTTACCCATACCCAATATATATATATATATGCATATGCTGCATATGTATATATATACACAAGGTTTCACAAGCAAGACCAGTGGTGCCTCCCAAACCCATTTGCGTGAAATGGTTTCTTCACGATGTCCACGCACAAACAAAAACTTGTTTTTTTGTTATTATTATTATTATTATTATTATTATTTGTTTTAACAATTTTGCTAAGCTCGAAGTTGCATCAGTTCCATCAGTTTGGTAAATACAGGGATCCACCTTCGCTTCAAAAGTCCTTGTGATGGAGTCCACTTTCGCTTCAACTAGCTCAGGAAGGCGCGGAAGGTGCAACCCGAAATCGCGCCCGCATGTCTCAGCACAAGCCACGGTCGTATTCAGGGTTCCTTGAAGGATTCATCCAGCCAACTGCTTGACAAGGGGATCTTTGAAAGCTGGCAAAGGTGATACTGTGGATGGACGAAATCCTGCACCACCTAAGAATCCCTGGAATGATTGCTCCCCTGTAAATACCAACAAACAATGCTTTCCCATGGTTTCAAACTGGTGCAGGGTTTTGTCCATCCACAGTATGTTAGGTGATATGGGTGTGGGTCAAAATAACGCCACCAGGGGACCACAGGTTTTAATTAGTCCTTGGTTCCATTTACCAGGGTTCCATTTTGGGTATCCTTTTTTGACCCACAGCCATATGTCAAATTTCCCCAAATGTGTCCTTCACGGGGCCCTGTTGTTTTGCGACTGCCTCGCAGTCGCGGCTTTCTTTTGCTTTTTTTTGTGCAGTCGGTGCGCCTCTTACAGACAAGGATTCTAATCTACGAGCAACACGTACGTAGTTCACTTGGGATTGAGATTGGGGTGCATGGGCTATTCCGAGTTTACTTCCCTTTTGGGCAGCTATGTTTGTTTGACGGGGAGAGCCTCCTGGCAGAATATGGTTTTCAAGCGCCTTTTGTAGATCCCGCCTCTTATTCTCCCTGATGGTCCATTTAGTATACTCTTTTAGTACTCTTTGAACATCAACAAAAGCCGCATTCAAACCATTCCTAAAATTCCACTGAAGGGATCGCGCTTCAATGGTTTGGTGTTTCTTTTGATGGGGATGGTCAAGAACCTGTGCACTATTGAGCATCCGCGAGATGTGTATTCCCATCAAGGGCTGTCCAACTCTATAGAAAGAGTTCTGACTTTGGAACACATGGCTGATTCGAACAACATGCTGCTTTGCCCGAAGGCTGGCTTCACATGTTCAGGCATTTGCACTTGCAAGCTCAAAAACAAACCGAACCCAGACAAGCCCGCTTCGCAGGAGATGCCTTTTATCGAGGTGCCGGAGTCTGTGTCGCTTGGCCTAAGGATGGAGTTGTGTATTCGAGAGTTCTTCAAGCTGATGCCGGGGATTCGCAGAAGGATTTGGCTGCGGGTCACAAATAGGTACCCCAAATGGAACCCTAGTAAGTGGAAACATGGACCAACACCTGCGGTCCCCTGGTGGTTTAATTTTGACCCATACCCATATTGTTCCTTTTGTGTTCTCGTTGCGGGCTGGCTCGGGTCTGAGACAGTCTTAGGAGGTTGTTTATTCTGAGGAAGCCCGAAGTCCAGTAAACAAGACATATTAGCTAACCCACTAACATCCCATATCGTGAGGGGGATTGCATCAGGATTGTCTTTTGACAAGGGGGCAAGTCACCCGCATACATTCGCAAGACTTTCTCAGCTAAGATTGGCCATCCTGGCCTGGACTGTCTCAAGTGGTATTTGTGATGATACATTTGCCGTTTACCGAGTTGTGCTTGTGGGTTGTATGCACAAAGTCTGATAGAAAGCAATCTGAGCAGTAGACATCATTGTTTAAGCAGTTCAGCACAGGTCACAGGTCTTCACAAATTCACTGCTGTTCAGACACCTCAGGGTTTCCGGAGTTTTTCTCCTTGACTCATTTAACGTCCTGGAACCCCGAACGGCCACTTTTTTTTCGGTCCGAAGGTGTATTTGGCCTGTTTTTGCCCGTAAGGTGTTTTGTTTCTCGCTCATTTGCCTCTTTTGCCCGTATTTGGCTGTATGAAACCCGTATTTTATCGATAAAATATTGAAAACAAACCGAAGAAAAACGTATTTGGCCGTATGTTTTTTTTGGGACAAAGCCTTTTGACCAAAAAAAACAGCCTTTTGGGGCTCCAGGGTGCTTGCAGAACCCCTAAAACCCCAAAAACCCTTAAATGATATACATTGCTGACTGACAATCCATTTGCTCCTTTCTCGCAGACCAGAAGTTGAATGCACTCAAGTCCGGCTCGGATCGATTCGGCCGAGGATCACCTTTGAACGATCCCACAAGGGCTTCAAGGAGGAGCGGCCGAGTCGATGTAGTGGCCTAGGGTCCCTTCGGTTCGCGGTCACTTAGGTTCGCTCCAAGAGGATATCCAGCACTTTGACCTCTCCACAGGTGTCCAAGGCTTGCACCTGCTTATGTTTTTTGTCTGTCCTTCTTTTGCGCTGTTGTACTACCAGCTTGAGATTGCGTGATTCTTGTCGACACTTCCAGCCTTGCTGATCGTGAGCTGATGGGCTTGCTGGCTCATGTTGTGTTTTGTTAGTTTTGTTCTTGCTTTCTCCGACGGTCAGACTGTAGACCACTATTGTGGGCGAACAATTAGCTATACGCACGCCACTGGTAAGATTCGCTTGCTGCAAGCTAAACAAAAACCTGACGGGACCCGAACACCTTCAGGTGAATCATATCTCACGACAAACTGCTTCCTGAACATTTGGTGAGGCTTCTCTTGCCATGTGCCAAACCCGGCCCCGGGCCCCTTTGTGGTGCAGCCGCGCTGGTTTTTGCTTGTTGGCATTTGCAGGGGAAGCATCCATCCAGGTTTTTCTTAGGTGGTCCATCCACAGTAGGTCAAGTATAATTGTTCAGTGCCACAGCTTTCTCTTTTGAAACAATCCCCGAAGATGGTCATCTGGTAAACCCCAAAGAGGCGCCCAGTGGCGGAAATCTACCTTTCATCCGCCAACATGACATCCAGGTCCTTTTCGGTCTTCCCCGCCCCCCCCCCCCCCCCCCCCGCCAATTCCACGGTAACGTGGGTGAGAAGGTCGGGAATGTGAAGTTGTCTTCCTGGAGTCTCCTTCTGACCCTTAAAAAACGGTTGGTCATGACCCAAAATCATGGGGTGGGCCCATTTTTATTTCGGGTCAGAAGGAGACTCCAGGTTTTCCTTTTGTGTTGTTTCCGTCAAGACAAACGGCTCGCTCCCCTTTCCCCTGGCCACGATCTGGCTGCACGGTGCGCGCCATCCGCCTTTCGCGGGGAGGCAACTCGCGGTTGGAAATCAAAGTGGATGGAATCCAAGTTCGCCATCCCGAGAGACAGATCCATACCTGGAGTCTCCTTCTGACCCGAAACAAAAATGGGTCCACCCCATTATTTTGGGTCATGACCAACCGTTTTTTAAGGGTCAGAAGGAGACTTCAGGTACTCAGGTATCCCCAAACCACCAATGGATTGGTTGGTTTGAAGCCCTTAGGCTCTTGAGGGTCAGACTGTCGACCGTCCAAACCATCCAAACCAACAATTCGAGGGAAACGATTTCTAGGGTGTGGCCCAAAATCAAAGAGTTAGGATTACGCATTTTAGTCCAAGTTTCCATTTGCCCAGGGGCCATTTGGTTCCCTTTTTGGAGCCACGGCCAGAACTGCCCACTTTGGGGCAGTTGTGCACGTTTGGCCGTCTCCTCAAGTCGCGCAGGGGCCATGGCGAAGGACTGTTCAACCACCCATAATTCTGTCTCCAACTTGTTTGGATGGTTTGTTGGACACACAAAAATGAACATCAACGACATTTCGGAAGCCATGAAAGATTTAGATCACCAAAAACACCTTTCAGATAGAAACATAAGATCAACATGGACACCCAGATGGACAAATCAGATCACACTTGGGGGAACCCCTGGAACAATGGGATCCTGGAAATCCAAACGGAACATCAACACGCTGAATCACCGAATCCAAACGGGCGGCCAAAAAATATATATGGCCGGCTCAAAATCCAAATCGTGCCAAAAGTTTGACAATCCCAATCCAGCCACTAAAATCCCGGTTCTACAATGGGTGGTGAATTCACCAAAACCCAACCCCCAAACATGGGATCAACCAAAACGGTTTGGACCACCACGGCCCTTTTTCCGAAAGCCCCGAACGGTTTTTGCTCCCAGGAGCAGATCCACGCGCTGGGGCTCCATCACGTGCCGGGCTCCGGGGGAGAGCTGCAGCAACTGGGCCGAGGCGCCTCGGGCCGAGCCTCGGAGTCGGGCGGGGGGCTGGGTCTCGGGGAGTCCATCGGAGGGACCGGTGATGAGTGACGGGTCCGCCCCGGACTTCGAGGGAAGACGAATTTCCCCGAAACTTGGGGGGAAATGGATTTACCCTCTCCCCCATGGAGACTCCAGGTGGAGGTGGGTTGGATTTACGGTAAATCCAACTTTCCTCGAAGTCCGGGGGAGTCGTCACCGGTCCTTCGGGACTCCATGATTTACCCTCTCCCCCATGAAGACTCCAGGTGGTGGAGGGTTTGGCAGCCTGAAGAGGATGAGTTGTGCTCAAAATGAAAAAAAACGGTGGTGTCCGAAAAGTAGTTGGTCTCATCTAAAACCAAACGGAAGGTGCGGAAAAAGCACCGAAGCGGGGGGGGGGGGGGTCAACTCTTGGTTGGCTTCCTCAAAAACAGGATCACCGCCGCCTGGCAGAACTAGTGGGTGTAGCTCCATTGATTGGGAAGCGATGGAAATTGCGCAGGTTTGCTGCTGGTACTTCAAGGGGCATTTGTACGTCAGGTAAGTGGGTAATAACCATATATATATATACCCCAAAAAAGCCACGGTTATAAGTCTCCTATGTTGGTTATATAGCCAGGCTTACTCACCACGTACTAAGTACCCTGCCCCTTTAAGTACTGTAGCCCAACCTGTTTTTGGCGAGTGACCGTGCTTTAATCCAGCATCCAGCCATGAAGAAAACGCGCGAGGGCTTTAAACCAAGATGCTGGCTAGAGAAGCGCTTGCCGCGTCATGCGTTTGGATGCATTTCATTTGTTGTCTTTTGCGAGGCGGCATCTATGTTTGTTTGGCTGAATATTTGAAGCTATCCAATTCTAGTCTGACATTGATGCCATCGGTTTTCCAACATTGATAGTGGACAGGGGCCACAGGGGGCCTTGTTACGTTACTGTAGTTCAGCTGATCGAGTTTCATCTCGTCGGGTGCTACCCGCAAATTGATCGCTGGCTCTTGCCTGCAAATTGATCTGCTGCATGGGACTGGATGCTCAAGCTGCCCTCTGGTCAACTAGGTCCCCCAGCCCCTTTTTTGGTGAGGGGTCCCCTGCTAAAATAGACTACAGGGAGGAAAAAAAAAAAAACAAAAACGGGTACCCTTGTTCTAACCTATCTACTGGAGGATCTAGTCAATAAACCTAAGGATTCTTTCACTCGTGACTGAACTCAAGCTATCGCTGTGCTCTTCCCCGTACAGCTTCCTCCTTGCCCGCGTGCTCACCCGGGCGGGTCCACATGCACCCACAGAAAATCCTTCAAAAATGGCTGTGGGTCAAAACCAATGGTACCATCTTGGGGTAGGTGAATTCACCACCCATTTTGGAACCTATTTTGGTGGGGATTGGAATGTTCACTGGGGGTACGATTTGGATTTTGACCCATGGCCAAATAAAACCGGGGCTCCTTAAAAGACAGCCCATTTGAAACATGGCTTTTTCCAGCAACATGAGGGGAAACCACCATTGACAAGGCGTTCAGGTGTATAATGTAAGGATCCCTGAAAACTGGGCTTCCTTCACCATCAAAGATGTGGGCAACTTCTGGCGAGCTCGTCTGGTGACAGCTTGGAACCCTGCGAAGTAGAGTAGCGGCATCTGCCGGTTCGAGACCTGCAAGTTCGAGATGTGCGACTTTGCGATTTGGGTCCTCGGCGAGCGGACGGAATTCCAGGAAAGTCTAGCCTACCACATTCACCTGGAGTCTTCCTAAGGACCCTTTAAAAATGGATGGGTCCATGACCCCATTATTCTGGGGAATGACCCCATCTTTTGAGGGTCATGGAGACTCCAGGCAGATAAAACTGGACTGGCGGTTGGAAGACAGTTCGCCATTGAAGGGGAAGGGGAAAGAGCTGAATTGCATTCAAGCTTCCGGTGGTGGGAATGAAAGAAGTTGGCTCCGGAGGAGCCGCACATTTTTCCGTCGAGCTGTGCTGAGGCTGATGCGGTCGCGGGCGAACAGATGGTGACTGGAACCGGATTCATGACGGTATGCTGGTGCCTTCCATTTCACCTGGGCGCATGGTTTGCGTGTACGTAATGTACGTGTTCAGCGCATGTCATGTGTAAAAATGCTTCTCATGTCACCCTCAGGGCTTGGACCTCTTTCAACAGACTCGTAGCATCCTTTTTGCATTCATGCTCCAAAGGTATTTACGACAGACAAATGACGTCAACATGCAGTGGCAACACTGCAATCACCAAACAACTCTGCAATTGTCCCGCTCTTGTGAAGGGGGCGCTCCACCCAAAGACACATCCTTGGGCACAGACGCAAAAGGCGTGGAAGGGGGGGTCCAAACGGAAAAGAGTTCCACAGATTCTTCCAGAGCTTACGGAAAACGTTTTGCTTGATGGACCCTGGAGCCTGTTTTTTGCGCTTGGAGACAGGCACTATGCCATGTCTTTTGAAGAAGCTCCAAACAGATGAGCGTTCTTTTTGGCCGCAAGCTGATTTAGTAGGGAGAGGGACATTATATTGAAAATGTGCACGGAAGGCTTCGCGGCAAGCATGCGGAAGGCTTCGCGGAAGGGATTCTTTCGCGGAAAGTTTGTGGAAGCTTTGCGGCTGATATGCAATTAATCGTTTCAGTTTGCGTGCGTGGAAAAGCACGGAGAAAGGATTACAGTAGAAGCAGCAAGGCGTTGCTGCGTACAAGAAACGCGACGCTTACTAGAAAAGCAGTTGCCAACAGCAAGCCAAGAATATCGAAACAGCCGGAGTTCGCGGAAGGTTTGGGGAAGGTTCGTGGAAGCTCCGCGGAAGGGTGGCCCCGTGTTTGCGGGCAAGTGCCCACGTAGCACGGGTAGCTCAATGGGCCTCAAGCCTACACAGGCTGCGATGAAACACTACTTTCCTGCCTTACTTAAAATGACTTTCTCTTCCTGCGCTAATACTTGCGGAAGCAAATCATGTAAAACATGCGCCGCGGAAGGGTTGCGGAAGCAAACAATGGAGCACATGCGCCGCGGAAGCTCGCGGAAGGGACCTCTTGCCCCGCGGCAAGGATGCGGAAGGGTCCGCGGAAGCGCTTGAGTAATGTCCAATCAAGTTGTAGGGAATAAAAACCAACGCTCAGATGTGAAGGAATACTCTTCCCCAGAATTAGTTCTTTGCTTTTGTTGGGTCCCCTGTGTTTTTCACTAACCCAGGCAAAAAAAAACAATGTTTTTTGCAGGGGTCCTAATTGCAGCCAAGCACTGAGCATGCACATGGACAACCAGAAGCAGCTACTGGATCAAGCAGTCGCCCTGTGCATGTTTTGGAGCTTTAGAGCTTTCAGTTGCTTTGGAACTCCCACCCAACATGTCATGCGTCTTGAGCTGATCTTGGAGTTCATATCAGAGTTGTTATGTGGCCACAGTGCTGACAGGTTGACAAGGCCACTCTTGAGCTTCTCTCCCCCACAACCCATGGTTCATAGTCGCATAGTCGGAAAACAAATACGTTGTCTCCTCTCGGCAGTCAGGGAGCTGAAAGATGGAGGGGTCGGTGTTTACTTTGTCACAGAAGCAATGTGTTTAAGACACATTTAAATTTGGAGGGATCCCATGTGCACAAGATTTCATGAGCAACGGAAAAACCTTCTAGGACATGGGGTCTTCCATGTTTGGACCCTCCAATTTCAGGTTTGTGTCTTCGATCCAAAGTCCACCCTCCTCGCGTCCTTTAGGCCTGCGTGGAAATTTCCGCCTGGCAGCAGTTTCTCACATAGCGTCACAGACCCTGGCGGCACCGGATGCGCAAGAAGATCAACTCCCCACGTTGCTTTGAACGCCCTTGACACCAACCCCGAAAAGATAAAGCTCTAAACATAGGTGTCCTTTTTAGGTTAGTTCGAGCAAAAAATCGATGGCACTGGTTTATTTGGGTTTCATTCCGTTTACCAGGGCCCTCGTTTTGTGATTTTCCCCCCCAAAGAAAGCTACCTATAAACACACGGCCCATGTGATCAGCTCACGGCCCTGGGGCCGCCGGTTTGGCATGCAGCTCCTCGCCATTTTCGAGCTTCCAAAAGGCCGAGTCTGCTGGGTATTTATGGACTAAGTGGGTAGCCCCCCGAGCAAATGACACTGAAATAGAATTCCCGTAAACCGAAAAGCTGGAGTTGCACCGCCTACGATGAGTGATACTTTTTTCGGGGTTGGTTTGAAGGAGAAGCACAAGGACAAGGAATCTCACCATTTTGCGCCCCTAAACAAGATCTATCCTGGGTTTTCTTGAGCAACTAACAACGTGACTGGCAATTTGTTTGATTGTGGAAGGCAGGTGCTGAAACTCTCAATCAGTCTGTCAGAGAATGCCCCGCTTTGCGCTGTTTTTTGGGGCAAGAGGGCTTTCCCGCTGCTTTGAGACACCCTTCCATCTCACCATGCAAGTGTATTTGAGTGAAAGGGAGCCCGATGTGCGTCGTGTCTTCAAGTAAAACCAACTGGAAAACACCCGTTTTTTTTGTGAAACTTCTACTAGGTCCTCCTGTAGTGCCCTTCTCTCCCGTTTCTTTTTTGGGGGAGGGTTCCCCTACTAAAATAGACTACAGCAAAAAAATCGGGTACCCATATTCTAACCTCTCTGGAGGACCTAGTCTAATATGGAGATCCCATGTCCTTTTCAGGGAACTGCAATTCCAACCGTCAGAGTCGCGAAGGCTCCCAGCGACCGCCCGCGGCCGAAAAACAAAAAGAGAGACAGGAGTGGGAGGGCTTGTCGTCAGAGGTGCCGCCCAAGTACCGGGTCAAACCACAAAGGCAGAAAGATGGCCTCGGGTCACTTTCCTTTGCCAGGGCCACACTTGTAGCCCAATCCTGACACCGAATTAATCACCATCAGGAGGAATCATGCCTGCTCTGGAAAGCACGAACAACGGGCTCCATGCCCTTTCCTTCGACTTGACTCCATGCCCTTGGCTTGAGGCCATGTCCAGACCCAGCTGAGAAACCGTCTGAAGGCCAGCAAGAAGCGTTCTTTGTTGTTTTTTCTTCTGAATCACAGGGCAGGGTCACCAGAAAGTCTCGGATTATAGATTGAGAAGATTACCGGAACAAGGATTGTTTTTGTTTCTTCTTTTTTCTTCTCGGGATTTGGATCAGCTAGTTTCTCCAGGGGGATGCCAAAGAGGTTGTTCAAAACAGGGTAACCTCTTTAGCGTCACCCCATGCAGAGGTATTTATACCATGTGAAAGCCATCTTCGGTCCGGTCCATCTTGGTTCTTCTGGGCATGGGCTTGTGAGGCGTCCCATGTACTTGGACTCCCGAACCGGAAGAAAGCTTTCAGCTTTCGGTTTGGTTTGGACAGGGCTCGCCCAGTGAAAAAGAGAAGCAAGTTGTTGTCTTATGTTTGTTTGCAAGACTTCACTGGTATGCCGATACGACCAGTGGTCGTCATTCTCTTCAGGGATCCTTCGATCCTTCTCTTCAATCAAATTGACCAAACAGCTGGGAAAACAGATGGCGTCTAAAGACAATGATGTGTGAGGAGAATGGGAATCAAACCTTAGAATTGGTCTGTTTAGAGGAATGTTGGCAGCCTCTGGAGAGTTCATCTTCATTCAGGCTCCACTCGCCTGCAGCTGCAAAGGCTCCATTTCCAAATGGTGAGCTTGTTCGCAACCAAGAAATTCCTGCCAAGGATTGACAACTAGAAAAAACATAGACACATCCGTGCATCTAGCACCCATTAAAGCGCTACAACAAGACTGCGGTCGATCCAGCACACACACAGACCCTCACTGACTCACCCACACCATCGCTTCTTTCAGGTAGTATGAGCTAGCGTTTGCAAAGGGAGAAGCGGGTAAAGAGGATAATTATCCCAAAGCTTTCAGATGCATTCCCCGTGGCTGCTTGAAAACAATCATATGGTTGTCAGAGTCGAATTCCTTTGGAACCGCGCACGAGACCGCTGTGAATCCAACGAACCTGAGTTTCCCTCTCGGAAGTTCTACCAGAAGTTGCTGGGAACACGAACATTGAATGCTACCCCTTACACCCAATACTTTCATTTTTTAGGGTATGATGTCGACCCTCTACTAAAAAAGGAGGTAGGTACCATGGAAACCATTCACAAAAAAACACTTTAAACAATTCGTGGGTATTTGGAGTAGGGGGTAGTAATGCGATGGATCAAAGAGTGGTTCACTCCGATCTCAAAAAGCAGCGTCTGCCTGGCCCTCCCGCACGCACGCTTGCGCAAGCGCGTGGCCTCGGGGCGCGCCGAAGCCCGTAGCACATGGGCCTGGACAAGGCGGGTCAAGCCATTCGAGCGGAAGCCAAGGCTCTGCTCACTTTCTAAGTAATCCCTTCCCCCTAAGAACAAAGACAGGGAAACCAACTTGCAGGGATACAGGGGGAACCAGGGATACGGGAGGATTCCCCCGTTTGATGCACCTTGACTGAGTTTGATATGGGGCATGGCGCCAAGTTGGAATCCCCCCCAAATCGGGACCCACTCCCTCCGTATCCCCGCTTTGTTTGTCCAACACTGCGCCGCGGATCGAAGTTCCTCCCGAGTCGAGGATTCCCACGGACCATATCCAAGGAGCCTTTTGAAAGGGTCCGATCCACAGAAAGCTTTTCCAGCGGGAGCAAAGAGGCTCCGTCAGGCTCTTTGCATTCTTTGGTCCAGGATTTTGGCATTCGAATCGGGCTCACCGATTCGATACACCGGGCTCGCCATGGAAATTTGACCATCCCTCACGGTCTGGATTACAAGGACATGGGGTTCTTCCGTTGCCCTTGTGCCACCCTGGTGCGAACCGAATCCGCCATAAACTTCCATTTGCTTGAGATTATGTGTGACTTCTGCAAATTTGAGTATTTCAAGGGAATCTAGCGGAAATGAGTTTGTTCTCTTGGTGGCTCCTAGCCATCCCCTTAGCTTTTTAGATATTTTTGGTGTTTAGTGGCTGGGTTTCTCCATTTCACCCACTAAAAGTTTGTCACTTTTATCGGGGGATCTGATCTGAGGACAGCCCCGTTCTTGTTTGTTTCCAAGGAGTGTATTCGCCGACGGAGGCCCTGTGGCACCCTTCCAAC